ACGATGGGGGTCAGGGCTACAGGTCTAGGGTGTTCTGTTTAGTTTTTGTTTATTAGATTCCCCCTTGTGTCTTTGCCCTCTGTCTACCTCTGTGTGTCTGTGAGTTCTTGTGCCTTGCTTCCCTTGGTTACCTTGTTTCCCTCCTTGTGTTTTATTCCATCATGTTTCCCCAGCTCGTCATGTTTGTGCTCTCCCTTGTGCTCCTCCATGTTCTCTCTCCATCTCCAGTCTGCATCTGTGTGTACCTTCTGTTTTATTTTGATAGTCTCCCTTCAGTGTACGTCATGTTGTGTTTGCTCCTGCCCTGTCTCATTATTGTTATTCGTGTCAGCTGCTTTCCCCATGTGCTCCCACATTCCTCGTTATCTTTCAGTGTATTTATGTCCGCGTCTCCCTCCGTTCCATGTCGCGTCTTCTCTCATGGCTGCGTGTCTCTCCCTGTGTCCCCCTGAGTAGATTAATATTAGAATTTCCCAGTTTAGTTTTGCATTGTTTCTTTTTTTGCATTTCATCAAGCAATAAAGCTTTGAGTTCACGTCCTGCTTCCGTGAGTTTTGCATTTGGGTCTTTCTCTGCCTGCACACAGCCGATTCTTGACATCATGAACAGTTTATGAAAGACTCCACAAAGCTGGGGTCAAAGCCCTTGAGGACACAGGCAATCACTGCTTCTGGTTGAGCAGACTTGCCTGAGTAGAGTCTTCTGATTGCCTCTGAACTTGGTTATGAATGAATGTGACAGGTGGGGGAGGAATGTCAGGATGTTCACAGGAGGCTATGGTGCAATGTGGGGAGAGAGAAGGGTGTGGCTGTGGATTACAGGCTGACTATAGTTAAGTCAGTATTGAGGTGAGCATTTACAGCAGTGTTGAATCTGTTCAAAAGTCCATTCAACTCATTGGCTCTAGCCTTACCGATGGCATGAATTGAGTGGTGGGAATATTGGCCTAGTGAAATTTTCGTTATTTTTATTAATAAACCGTGACTAGGGTTACACTTTTTAATGTTTCTCAGCTTGCTCTAATGGAACTAAAGGTGGTTTGTAAAGGGTCCAGCCCTAGTTTGGGGGACCTCTGGTGCATCGATGGAAGTGGGAGCCTCTTGAGCTGGCAGGGAGATTGTTACTATCCTTTTCGGGCGGTGTCTGCTCTCCACGAGTTCACTCTGTATTTAGAGGAAGGATTTAGTAGAGGTGGAGGATGAACTCGACCTGGGTGTCTATTGTCTTATGTAGTCTGGGAGCTCATTGAATGTAAGGGTGGGTGTACTTTTCCTCTGTGGCAGGGTCGGGTGGGCTGCCCCGGGCTCATTGGGGCTTGGCAGTGCTGCTGCTGTGGCCCCCGGTGCGGATAGGCCTGGTCCCCTGCCATTGGTGGATTCCAGGGAACATGGGTGCCTACCGGGTTCAGCGGAGAAGCTGGTTCCAGGGAGGGGGTACTTTGACCCCCACCACCACCACCAATCCTTCCCTTCCCATCCCCACATGCCTCCCTACTCCTGCTCCAGCACACCACCACACAGCACCAGACATGCAGGGCCAAGAGGTACAGGTGTGTCACTGAGTTGCAGGGGAAGCATTCCTCCTCTGTCCCCTCTTGGCCACCTGTGCCTCAATTATATTCCACAACCGAGACATCCACATTACTTACACTCTCATAACATATACATATAGGGCCTTGGGGGTGGGCAAACTAAACGGCGTCCAGAGGATGGTCTGTTTAGTCAAACTCACCTCTGGAGCCAGTGCCCACCAAATTGAGAGGCGGACACCACCACAATGACTCGACAGATGAACCCAGTCTGAATGAGATTTCACTGTTGGATACAAAATGGACAAATGATCAAACAAAAATGTTATAAACTAGAACTCATTTAGCTAGTTTGATATTTAGATGAAGCCGTTGAATTTTTCCACCCTTTTTCCTGTTACAGCTCCTCCAAATTCTGACAGTTTCATACCAGTAGAACATCATGAGAACAGCATCACCCTGCAGTGGGATAAAGTCAACAACAATGTCAGCTTTGTTCTCCAGTTTAATGGTACAGAGACAGACATCAGTGTGCCAGATGAAGATGGACCAGTAACTCACACAGTCTCATCTCTCACTGCTGGAACTCAATACACATTCACTCTCTACTCTGTGTTTGAGAACGTCAGAAGCAGTGGAGTCAGCATT